GCCAGCTGGGTGACCTTGGGCCAGTCACTCTCTCTCAGCCCTAGAAAGCAGGCAATGGCAAGCCACTTCCGAAATCTTGCCCAGAAAACTGCAGGGACTAGCTCAGGCAGTTGCCAGGAGTCAACACTGACTCAAAGGCACCCCTCCTCCCCAAAATGTATGACTCAACAAATTAAACAATCACATCTGCTTCCAGGATATATCTCTTTGGGTATGAGTGTTATTTCATTCACGTCTCATGAGCCACACCAGTTACTTCACAATTCCTCTAAATGATACATATTCAATAATACAATTTTGTATCTGGCTGATTCAGCCTCAGTGATTTTTAGATTTCTCAAGTGAGCCTCGAAAGGGCTAGAACCTTGCAGAATCTATTTTTGAACTGTATTAAATGTGTGCAAGAAAAGCAGGTAACTCCATTGAAGTAGTGCATTTAGTTTACACAGGTTCTGAAGGTATGAATGTCTCACTGAATGAATTTTGGGTCAGTTTTACAAGAATCAACAGTTGGTGTGGAAGAGCTCCCACATGTGAATAGGAGGGGGAAAAAAAAAGGAAGTCACCACATCAAGAGCGAACCCTTGAAAGCCAGCTATAATCACAACATTCACTTAATTCAATTGCAAAAGTGCCTCTACCACTTCCTTTCATCCTCCTGAATGAGCACATTAATCTTTTCCCCTTTAAGCCTTTGCATTTACTGCATGTAATCTTAGCCCAACTTTACGCCTCTGAGATCATAGTCAGATTTCTACTGGATTCCCTTTTACTGTGGTGCTGAAGAACAAGGGGACCCAGTTACTCATGCATGGTGCTGGGTTCTAAATTAACTGTAACTACGCAAGGGGGAAAAAAAGAGACTTTCATGTCACTGGAGACAGCTTAATGAAAACCTCCTGTCTGTGTATAGGAAAAGAAAGCAAACAAAATGAGAGGATGCCGAGGAAAAGAATTAGAAAAATGGCTAGGAATATCCCCGTGTCATATAAAGAAAGAAGACATGCACATTTCAAATGCTGTCTATGTTGCACTGAGCCTTCCTTCATATGGAAAGGCAATTTAATTGCAATTGTGAAAGAGGTGATGAAATAAGAAAAGAAAAAGTGAAGGGTGGTTGGAAAGGTTAAGATTGTTTAGAAAGGAAACAAACAACAGAGGACTTGCTAGGAGTTAAATAGAGAGAGGAAGAGAAAGAGAGAGAGGAAGCACGGATGAGAAAATAAATCACAGCTTATTGATGAACCTGATCTTGCCCAAGTGGACTCTGTTTTCAAATCCTATTTGCTTCAGAGAGAGATATTTAAGCTCACGGCTTCCCCCAAAACCACTGAAAGGGACCCTTGGCTAATTTGGACTAGATTGCAATGTCCTGCACACATACTGAAGAGGAAGTATGGGTAATTTGGAAACTGCTAATCACAAGTAATGTTTATGGAGTAGTTTAGTGATCATACTTGTCTTCTGCCAAACAGCTCAGTACAACGGGTGGAAACAATCTCTTGCTGTTTTCAGAACAACCCTGACACTAGATTTTGAAAAGGGTTGGCTTGAAGTCCCTCAGGTAGCTGTGACCAAACCAGATTGGACCTCAGGATTCAATGGTCCAGATCCAACTGTGTCACCCATTTCCTTTCTTTTCAACCTTCCCAGTTCATTATAGTATGCCCCCACAACTCCAGTTGACTAACAAACTGTAAGAGAGCATCTCTTTTCAGTCCAAGTGTTTTTGTAAAGCAAGTGGAGCTGAGGAATTGCCAAACTTGTTTTTTTTTTTTTTTTGGTTAGTTGTTTGGTGCCCATGTAAGAAAATTCACAACATATCAACTTTTGGTTGTTGAACAAACTTACAAAGTTTGCCCACCACTTTGCAGTTGGCCTTTTGTTTGTTTGCCTTCCTCACTGTGAAAAGAAGACTGAAGGTGGCACTGAGGTCCCACCGGGCTGCCTTTTTCACACTGGGCCAGTCGAAGTAGTGGTCAGCTCTGTGGGAGTGCGAAGCAAAGCAAGAAGGGCAGCAGGGTGGACACTCATATGCTGCGGCATAATAAATCTGCAGAGAGAATGAGGGAAGAAAGGAAGGAGAGTATCATATTTATTATCTTCACACCTCTTCCAGCTATGGCCTCCTACACTGTCCTTCTATCACTTCTTACAAGAGCATAGTGAAGATAATATTACAACCTCATGGGAATATGGATCTGAATCTCATTTATCTCTAATCAGACATCATTAAATTTATATCATTCCAGAGTTTTCTTAGAGTCCAAAATAAAGGTACTCTTTTCTTACAAGTACAAGCTAAATGACTCATAGTAAAGGAGAAATACAAATCAAGATCCTTCTCATCCACAATAGCTCCAAATCAGATGAGAAGACAGTGAAAAGATAGTGAAATGGTAAGGAATGTTTTATTTATTTATTTATTAAATTTATTCCCCACCCATCTCCCCCCAATGAGGGACTCTGGGTGGCTCACACAAAACATTAAAACCATAAATACTGTACATATAAATACATAAAACATAAAAATTTTAAAAACATTACTAAAAAAGAAGAGAGTCCAAGAAGATGAAGGATCTGGGGCTAAAGACTGCAGGCCTTATGGGGCTAGCCATCCCCACGCTTGAAGTATTCCGTCCCCACCCCAAGCCAAGCAGCAGAACCAGGTCTTCAAAGCCCTCCGGAAGGCCAGGAGTGAGGGGGCCAATCTCACCTCCGGGGGCAAGATATTCCAAAGGGTGGGGGCTACTGCAGAGAAGGCCCGCCTTCTGGACCCTGCTAGTCAGAGCTCTTTTACTGAGGGGGTCTGGAGTATGCCCTCTCTGTGTGATCGGGTGGGACGGGTTGAAATCATGGGGAAGAGGCGGTCCCTCAGGTTACCCTTGTCCCATGCCATGTAGGGCTTTAAAGGTGATAACCAACACCAAGAATTGGATCCGGAAGCAAACTGGTACCCAATGCAGCTCGCATAAAGGAGAAAGAAGTTGTTGCTTAAAAAAAATAAATGTGCAGCTAGTTGTTGATCCTTGGCAACCACAACCGAATGATGGAGGATCCCAAGACCTCTTGATTTTGTGAAGCACTTAAGGATCTCTTTGGATCAGATTCCATTCAGACTTAGCTAAATGCCTGAGGATATTAGGATTTAAGTACCATAGTAGCAAGCAATGATCCCCTGAACCCGATGATTCCCTGCTTGAAGGAGCTACTGGCAAGTGCAATGTAAATGTCCCTATTATCCTCAAATCACCCTTTCCCCTTTGCATTCAATGTGCTGCACAGACCTAGAATAAAGTGCCACTGGATTGGAGCCACTACAGAGGAGTCTCTATCTCTTGCGCATGTCACTGAATAGAAGGAAATCTTAATAGTGGGAGGAAAGCCTGCTGATAATAATGGGTAAGATATTGTCACTCCAATACAAGACCAGAATTTCTTCTCTCTCAGGTCATGATTTGAGCTGCAAATAGTGGAATTCTCTTAAGAGAGTTTCATGCACACATACACTCAACTTTCACTTATATGGGCAAGATCAATATGTCCAGCTCTGATGAAGCACCAGTGACAGACTGTTTCTCATATAATAATGTGGCATCTATTACCATTTTCTTCAGAATCTAGAGCCGTGTTTCTCAGCCTTGGAAACTTTCAGATGTGTGTACTTTGGCTCCCAGAATCCCCATGCTGGCTGGGGAATTCTGAGAGTTGAAGTCCACACATCTTAAAGTTCCCACAGTTGAGGAACACTGCTCTAGAGGTTGCAGATAAACAGTATTATAGAGGTTGGAGCACAAAATGAAAAGGGTGCTAGCATATATATTTTTAACTCATCCTCCCACACCTGTAAATCCAATAATGGTGGCTATTGCAGTGCCATGAATATACAGTATATTCCTCCCTTTATAGTTCTCAGCTACCTGAAGTCTTCCTAAGGTTGCACTAGGCCAAATCAAAATGATCCCAAATTTAAGATAATTAAGCACCAAAATAATTCAGTCAAATTCAGTATGATTTCAACATAATCTTCTTTAATGATTCAGCTGCTGGAACAGTTTTGGAATATTATTACTAATGACTTTGTGGAAATATTGTATAATAGCTAAAACATGCCTTCTATTATCTACTCTCAGAAACTAACATAGTCCAGTAAAGGTGGACAAATTTACAGGAGAGTTTTCTCAGTGCTTAATTTTTGCTGGAGGGGGGTTTTCAACTGTTTGGTACATATTTTTGGTTTAGTGTATGTACTTTTTTTTAAACTCAGGAATGCTACCGGAGTTTATGGTTTCCTCCTAGGATGAAAATATCTGTTTTAGTGTTATTATTCATGTTTTTTTATGAGCATCAGATACTCCATAGTTCCTTGAATATGATGTACTGATTCAATATGTATTTAATGGAAGAACTATGTATTTAGAATCAAGACAGAATATGGTTTGCATAAAATTACACCATGGGTTGATGAGATACTCCTTAGGATTAATAAGTAGCCTGCAAATTAACTCTTCAGCCAAAGGTAAACTGGTTGCCTTACTTGGGTTTTTCCTTCAATACAAACATCTGTTTTTACTTATGTGTATTCACATTTGTAATTTATAGTTAGCATTTTTTGGCACCAGGAGTGCTGTCTTGCAATTACACAAAGTCTTGAAAAGGAGATTTGCTTTTAGATCAGAATTCAAAACATTGAAAACAACAACAACAGTTTAGCCCAATTTATTAACTGCAACAAACTTACTACAATGCAGATGTCTGGTCTGGTAGAACTTAGGAGAATTCTGTTCATAGCTAGTATACTTCTGTACATACACAAATGACCACTTTGTGAAGGGGTTTTATACATTAAAATGCAAAGTAGTTTTATAGTCAAGGGCCATTCATCAACTACAGCAAATTGTGTATGTGTATGCCTGTATATGTGTGAGCATGGTTATGATGAATAACTCTCACTTTTATCTCACATTCAATAATAGAAAAATTGAACTTTCATCATATTGAATTATTTTGTTACTTTATTTATAGGGAAATCCTACAGATCAGAGGCACAAAATCTTTATCAGTTTGTAGCCTTCAGACTGATAAAGATTTTGTACCTCTGATATGATTCAAGGTGTCAATGGGCTGGCACCCCTCCCTCCCTAAATTGCTCCCCATAACATCCTATACCTCAAAGTAAGATTTGTCTATCCCTTTTGGTGCCTAAAGCAATGTGTCTCTGAAGGGTGGAGTTGGAGGGAGAGCCTCCATCCAGGTTTTAGCAGGACAAATGGAATTCTTTCCTCTGCTATACAGGTCTACTAAGAACTATCTAAGTTAAATTCAATGATATTACTTCCAGGCAGACAGATGTAGGATTCTAGCTTAATTGAGGAGAAAAGAACTACATTATTGCTAGGCTTTATCTTCTTGGACCCATTATCTAAAATGATCAGTCAAGCAACAGTTTCACAACTTCTTTCGCTTGCTTTCTCTCTGTATATAAAATTGTAATAAAATGCCTTTTCTGGAGCCTTCAGCCAACAAATTCTGAAATAAGTAGAATCAACTGTTACACAAGTAGACTTAAACAGAAGTGAAACTTTATTAAATCTCTGAAAAGTGCTACTTTGACGCTGAATTAAGTCGTAGGAGAAAGAAAATGAAATCATGATTTTCCCCTTTTCTCCAATTTGGAGATTTCCAGATTCAACTCTGGTGAACTGCACCCAGTGTGGTCAAGTAGCTGCACCCAGCAAGGTCCCTAACTTGGGTATGATCCAAATGGGTGGACTTTAGCTCTCCAAATTCCCCTTGCTGAGAACTGGGAAATTATAATTACACATGTGGAGGGCACCCAGGTTGGGAAGGCTGACAATACAAGGATCTGTGAAATAATATCGACCTGATCTTCTTTTAATCAGACACTAGGAAATAACAAAAATGATCAGACTATAGCTCTACATTACTAGTTCTGGCAGCACTATCTGAAATCTAAATGGTTCAAACCTTGGAATGCTTCAATTAAACATTTCAGAGTAATGGCATGCAGCAGGACAAGGGCAGGCCTACACAACTGGGCAACACACCAGTTATGGATAATGGCTAGACTGAAAATATTGTTCCATCCCTACTTTAAAACTAGCCTGGCCCCTTCAGGCTAAATGCCAATCAGCTGGACAACTGAACTAAGTCTAGACAGGAAAGTGGAGTTTCCAGAGACAGAAACAAGCTATATCTGAACTTGGACATGCTTGCAAAGTTGTTTCTGATTCAATTGTTTCATTGGCAAAAAACTAGCATTACCACCTGATCTTGGAAATATGGTTGGGATTGGGAGAAGATATTCACTTCCATCCTACAGCAAGAAAGAGTTACTGCCTTGTAAACCTTTGGTTCCCATGTCAGACAAATGTTTTAGCAATTTCTCTCTCTTTCCATTAATGTGGTTTTCTCTGTAGGTGGTGAAATGGCAAACAATTTTGTTTGCATTTTCCAGTTCTTGTCTTTTGATGCAGCTGTCCTGGCTGCCTTACCTCGGGTGTGCTAAGGAGCAATAGTCTGTACAGTCTCTTGTCTCCCTGCCTTTGTGGTTCAACAAAACTTCCCTTTCCCAACCCCAGACATTTTGCTCTCCTACGCTGAGCATCCACCATCAGTTATAAGCAGTCCCTTGCACTCTGTCCCCTTTGGCTGAAGCCAAGGACCAGTTGTCAGGCTGGGCAAGTTGCTCCACCCCTTGCTGGGATGAGGGGCAGAACAAGATGCCTGTCATGCCAGGTTCCTGCTCACCCATAAGAAGTAAGGGAAATGACTTGCTATTCCTTATTTCTCATGCTCCCTGGAGATTGCCCCTTTGATGTGTGTGCATCTACATAGGAAGCTGCCCTTGTTTCCTCTGGGGTCACCCCACCTGAAGCACTGTTTCCTGCTATTGCTGGACAGAAAAAAAGAGAGGAAGATACTTCCTTTTTCACCCTGTCAGTTTGATCTTAATTTATCTTAAGAGGCAAAAGGAAAAGTGGCCTTACTTTTCCTCCTCTGAAGCTGAACATGTGCCCAGGCCATCCTTCT